TTTGTTGAATAATAAAAGACTAATAAAAGGGTAAATATCAAACCAGAAATTGCTCCCTTCAAACTGCAAATTATAAATGATCCTGAGAGAATATTCACTGTGTTAAGGATTTCCCTGCTGTACTGTTAGCTCTATACAAGAGAGGAAGGGCGATTCTTTTTTAATTTCCGTTTTAGCAGCTTTAGCAGAAGTCTCTCTTTAGTTGTTTTCGTCGACAAAACGAATAGCAATATTGCTCTCCGCGTCTTCTGCCATTTTTTTCAGCCTCAATTCGTGAAGGACACGTGGCTCTAAACGTGGGTCATCGACGCAGAACATATTCGCGCTATGTGATTGGCTGTTGTCTAATCCCTCTTGGGATCTGTGGTCTTAAAAATAACTCGAGACGAATTGTGTATGGAGGATGCCTTCTCTGTCCCCTTTATCCTCTCTTGGTATTAACTCAGTTCTGTCTGATAGATTAACCAACAGAAACTATCGGCTATGTAATTAATACACTGTGGAAAGATTGTTCACAGTCCTGGACCTTCCCATATAAATGTTGGCATCTCTGTTTGCTTAAAAACCACTCCAGTTTACTATTTAACTCTGTGTTGGCTTATTAAAATTTACTTTCCACGCCGGTTCCTGTCATGGAAAGACTGACTTGTTTTGAAGAGCCTCAATAAGACAACTAATGAAAACTACTTTTGCAATCGCACTGTTTTAAAATATGAAAGACCGTGAATTAATTTTAAATTCGTTTTTACTTTATAGCGTATACTTTGTACGAATTGATCGATTTCAAACTTTCTTTTTCCCCATGGTAAAGACATCAGATCTGACAGAGCTAAAAACTACGCTGTGTAAAAGCAAACGGTGCAGTTTGCAATCAATCATCACTTTATGATTGTCTGAATGTTGTGGCTCAGTATTATAATCGAGCTATATATTATTCTTACAGGTAAAGGGAGAAAACAGACGATGCAAAGTTAGCTAGACGTGTACTTACCACGGCGGAACTTGTTATTGAAAGTTAAACTACGAAAATCGCTTGAGGGGTTCTAGATACTTCGATGCAATCGTAGATCTTCAATTTTTTTTTGAAGCGTCGAAATATAAGTTTGGCTGGATGCGAGAAAAGCCGAATATCCAGGCGGGATGAGCAGTGTGGGATACGGGATACGGGATGAAAATATCTTTGCTACTCCACGTGCAGAATGTGCACATTTCAACCAGGAATAAAATTTGATATAGATAGGTTTCAGAGGTGGGATGCGAGATGGAAAACAGCAAATCAGGCCTACTAAGTGACTGAATATATACCTTGGTAACCCTGATGAGACACATGAGCAGGAGGTTTTAAAATGGCTTCACAATCGTGTGCCCACTTTTTGGGTTTAGTCACAACAGCATCGTTAACTACAACTGGTTTTGACTAGTCTTTAACTATATGACTTTAGAGTTAAAAGTATAGTTAGTTATTTTGGTCGACGTAACGGTTGCAAATTCCCGCGGTCTCTTTCTCTCCGTTCAAAAAATAGATTGAATACAAACAGTTTACTTAAAGAGTTCAGTCTACCATGAATAATAGAGCTATTAAAATTTCGATTTATACTCACTTGTTTTGGTTAGTCGACCCGAATTGAACCAAATTGAATACGCGTCAATAACAAGACCTTTTCCTCTGAAAGGTAGAAGAGAAGGAAAAGTTAAGCAAAGTTGTTACTGCACAAACGAAGCTTCCAAACAATTATTCGCGTGGCTTTATTTTACGCGTGACTCACTAATAGTTATTACAACATGAATAAAACCAGTCACGCGATTCATGCAAACCTCTCCCAGTGTAAATTTAAAGTCTTGAAAATAAGCTGTACTTATTATATGTGCACCCAACGCTATCAGTCAGTGACAGCTTACAGTTTATAAGGGGCCGACCATTTAACTCTTGAGGGGAGGGGTGGGTGATTTCTGGTCATCAATAATTTTTTTTTTTTCTAGCAATCTGGTGGGCAGGACATTTTTTCCCTTTTTTCCATAAGCTTTCTATTACATTTGTGCTGCATGCAATTTTTTTCTTCCCACAAGCGCTTGCAGGAAATATTTTTTCAAAATCACCCACCCCCACCCTCAAGAGTTAAATGGTCGGCCCCTCCCGCGGCCCCTAAACTTACCGTGTTCAGTTTCTCAGTCTTCTGATGAAAATGAAACCAAAAGTGACTGGAACTGAGACAAAACGACGAACAAACGTTAGACCGCCGACTGGAGATACTTCTTCCACGAAGCGTGCTCAGTAAAACCTCTTCAGAAGGTCGACAGGTATCGACCGGCAAATCAAGGCCTTCTTTCTCGAAGTAAAGCTACAGTGCTCAGTCTTCGAAGAAAAATCGGGCAAAGATGAATGATAAATATTATATCCGTGAAAAGAAGCAACATATTGTACTTTCAAACAGTTCTAATCAAACATCCGGGCCCTAATAACGCAACATAAAGTGCCCTTCATAAACACGCTTGAAACAAAGAAGGATCGAGAGACCGAGAAGAGAACGGTAAATGTACAAGTATCACGACCCGTACAAGTCGTCTAGGCCCGTCAACACCACCCGTCAACACCACCATTTTACACTGACTGCCATATCGTATTTCTTATTTGCGTAAGTAACGCTCGAGTGTTGCCATACCAGATCCTGGTATACTGGAACGACCTTTTGTAAAAAAACAAAGGGTCGTTTCGCCTCAACTCGAAGTTGTGTCGTCCTCAGAAAAGTCGATTCGCTCCGAACAAAAGTTAGTTCGCCCGAATATTTTTCCTACGATTTTATAGAAAGCGATAAATGGTCACAGTCGTAAGGAATCAATTATCCTGTTGCTATCAAAGTGCAACAAAACCTCTACGCACGTACTCAAGGAAATATATTTAGACTCAATGGCTCTTTAGCTACGCAAATGTTTAATAAAAAAGGTTTAAAAGCCGTTTCATATATTCTACAGGTAAAAGCCTTGGAAGATTTATTAAGTTTTCAAATATATAATCGACCATCCATCGATCAACGGACTTTGTTTCTACGCGCGTAATTAAACACATTCATATTTTTCTAGTTAGAATGATTTGTAAGAATTGAAAGCCTGTCTCAATTTGTTAAGTAATTTCCCAAAATTTCCGGGACAACGGCTAATGCAGTTGCTTTGGTAGGTACTTTAAGTAGGGTTATTAAAGTGTATCAAGAATGCATTGACATGTATAGCCTTGTACTACCATGTGTAGCCACGTATTACCATGTATTGCCATGTATTACCATGTATAGCCAAGTAAGGCCATGTAATGCCATGTATAGCCATGTAAAGCCATATATTACCATGTATAGCCATGTATTGCCATGTATTAACATGTATAGCAATGTATTGCCATGTATTACCATGTATTGCCATGTATTACCATGTATTGCCATGTATTACCATGTAATGCCATGTATAGCCAGGTATAGCCAGGTATTACCATGTTTTGCCATGTATTACCATGTATGGCCATGTATTACCATGTATAACCATGTAATGCCATGTATAGCCATGTATTGCCATGTAAAGCCATGTATTACCATGTATTGCCATGTATTACCATGTATAGCCATGTATAGCCATGAAATGCCATGTATAGCCATGTATTGTCATGTATCGCCATGTATTACCATGTATTGCCATGTATTACTATGTATAGCCATGTATTACAATGTACACAGGAAAAAATAACGGATTCCCATTTTTGGATATTTTTGGGTATTTAAAGAATACCAACAAGTATTGACGAAGTCTCGACGGTTATGCAAACATATGCAAACACAAAAAACGTTTTCTATTGCTTAATTAGTCCGAGATAGCGAACCAATCAGATTGCTTAAATCACCAAGATCACTGAGTGTGTATATACTTTACTACCTTTAGCTTTACTACCTAACTTAAGCCAAGAAACAACCATGATGGACTTACGTTATCAATCGTGAAAATCATGAAAAATGGTCAATATCAATTTGTCACAGCAATTTATTTTATCGATTTTCACCGATTCCAGTTATCAATTGGTATTTAATCACTTGATTGCTACCGATTTTATCGATTGACTGGCTCTTGAATACCAGCAAGAAGAGAAAAATAAGAGATATTTAAAAAATAGCAAAACGTATTTTAAAATTTAATGAATCTTCGATTGGGCTCGGTAATCGAACTTAATCGAACTCCCCCCAAAATTTTGCCAATCGAACAAAATCGAACGTTCGGAAATCGAACGCTTAAAAAATCGAACATAATCGAACACTGCATGCAACAATCCAACATAAAACCAGTTTCATCTGGTTTGAAACAAAAGGCGTTACGTTCAAAGAAGTTATGTATTGGCTTTAATTTCAAACACAAGTACGCAAAGATGTCACAGAGAGCGGAGAACGTGAACAATTCTGGAAACGATGGTTACAGGCTACAACAACGACAAAAATCTTTATTTTTTTCCTCATTCTTGCTCAAAAATAAATTACGATGATGAAAATATTAAAAGTAAAAATTAGAGCACTGGCTGCCTAGACTGCCCGCTTTCGACGTCAGTGTCGGTGAAAAGTTTATTATTAAGACGAAAAGGGGAGATCCAGCTCTTACTGAGGTAACTGACGATGGCGGCGGCCAACTTGGACATTTGCAACGTGATCTGGTGCCTGTGCTTGCATAGTTAACAGTATTAATTGAGAATTTATCAGTTTTGAATCACTTAAACAATTAAGATTTTAGTTAATTCCGGGTTAATTGAAACATTTTTGTTTTCAAACTGCTTTAAATACATACTAAAGGGAGATCTTTCCGATTCGGAATTGAAACTGGATGCGTTTTGTCTTTCTGTCAAACAAAATCGATTGAGTTCGATTGGTTCGATTGAGTTCGGCAATCGAACTCACCAAAAAGTTCCAGTTCGATTATGTTCGATTGCCGAACCAATCGAACATCAATCCGACCGATAGGGTTCGATTGAGTTCTATTGATTTTTGGTTCGGTTTCGTTCGATTGACTACGCGCCGGGTATGCTGCACTGAGGAACGACTTCCGACCTCCATCAGTCAATACGGCGGTCCAATCTTGAATTGTCTATGCGTTTCAAAAGAAATCGCAAGTCTTACCACAAAGATAAGGTTAACTATTTCATTAACATCAATAATTTTCCGTTATTCTCTACCTCCGTCGACGTTCCGTCTTCGATAGTGCATGTTTATCGGCAAGGAGATAAAGGGTTGTTTAGCTATTTAGCAATTTTTGGAGGGAACAGCAATGGCGTTCCCGAATCCAGAAATAGGGAAAATTACTGGTTACCAAACTCTCACATACTGTAGTTGTTGACATTTTCACGAGCTGTAGTTATTAGGGCCCTCAATGGGGTTAACCGTCAGCCGTCAAAAATAGTTATTTTTTACCGTAAACTATCAAAAATGCAGATTGATATTGACTGACTGTCAAAAAGCTACAAGGCATTTCAGTGTTGCTTTTGTAGCATTTCAGCTGAAATGAAATGACTGATTTCAATTACAGTGTTTGTATGAGAATCTAATTTCGAATAATTTCCGTAGAACAGTTGTTCTGAAAAAAAAATATGATTTGTAAACTAAAGCTTCACTCCTAAGGATTCTACTGAAAAAAATTTGAGGGCGTTACATGCTCTAGAAGACCTAGAACCACTTTTTAAATTTCCTACACATTTGTCTGTTGGAAAGTCCGGAAAACTTACAAACAAACATATGGAAAATCTAAAGCAAGCCTCTGGAGAAATTTAAGCACAGGTACGCCCCCAAAATTTTTTAGGACAATCCTTTGCTTTGTAGCTTTAGTTTACAATTGATATTTTTTTTTAGAACAGCCGTGTTAAGGAAATTATTCGACGTTAGATTCTCATACAAACACTGTAATTTCTCACACTTTTCCCTACTCGTCAAGATGGCGTCGAAAACTGTGACAAGGTCTATTATATGCGTATGTTGCAAATGAATCCACCCTTAGTTGTCTTTTGGGGCAGTGTAAAATGCAGACGGACTATTGTTTTCGGGGTTAGAAAACAATGTGACTATTGTTATTGTTATCACCTCATTTACATCATGAAAATAATAATCCACAATAATGCGACTATTCTGCGTTCTACACTGACCGTTTGTATTTCACACGAGCGATAACTAGTAGTGTGTCTAATTTTACCCTGTAAAACTGATAGAATAGAATAGAATAGAATGGAATGGAATAATTCTTTATTTAAACACAGTAAAATGACGATCAGAGGTATATATAAAAAAATTAAATAAACCTAACTACCCTAAACAATATTAAAAAAAAAAAACTATCTAGAACCAACCTAACTAAGACCTGTTTTTCATGAATGCCGTGTACACAGTACGTTCAGAAGAGCCAATCGTTTTTTCAACCGGTTTGACGCTCGGTTAAAAGGTCAGAAATATAGCTAATGTAGCTACTGTAGGTGCAGCATTAACAATTTGTCAGGCAGTTCACACTGATTTATTGGTGGCACAGCTCCTTTAAAATGTAATGTATTGAAAGAAGACAGCGTCAACATGTCCCAATCAAGAACGAAGTCAATAGCGGATCTTGAGTTGCGCATGCGTTTTTCAAACTAAATTGGAAGCGTTACCACAAATATTACGCTATCCATGTTATCAACTCCGATAATGTTCCCATTTCCTGTACCTCGATCGTAGACCCGTCTTCAAAAAAGCCTGTTTCTCGGCAAGGATATAAACAGATGTTTTAGTCTAGCAATTTTTGGAAAGGGAACAGCAATCGGGTTCCCCAATAGAGGCAAATGGCATGCACATCAAAAGCAAATTATACAGGGAATTTACAACCGACTCAATCAGTCAATAGCTATTGCTATACACAATGAGGGGTTAGGAATCAAGTATACAAGGCTTTTAACTTTGAATCCGAGATGGCGTGACCAATTCATCTCGTGCTCATCGATCCTAGTAAAATCGATAGTCTAATCATACCGCACAAAAGGACAGCCAAGGTATACTGGACTAGGAACGACTTCCGACCTCTATCAGTCAATATGGCGGACAAAATTGAATTGCGCATGCGTTCCAAAAGAAATCGCATATCTTACCACAAAGATAACGTTAACTATTTCATTGAAGACAAAAATTTCTCCCGTTTCCGTATACCTTCATCGATGTTCATCTTCGATAGTGTACGTTCATCGGCAAGGAGATAAAGGGTTGTTTAGCTATTATTTCGAATTTTTGGAAGGGAACAGCAAAAGCGTTCCCGAATTTATGCACAGGAAAGACGAATTGTTCACGGAGTAACCTTCTGTTCAGTATTTAACCACTCTACTGAATCATAGTTTGCCAACCCTACAATTTACTCTGATTTAATATCGCTACTGCAATGTTTCAACGTTTGAATCCACGATAACTTGGTCGAAGTCACGCAACGTGCCTGTGATGAAAGACTTCCGGCTTTCGTACCTTCGACAACATTTTTACGACGACCCAAGCAGTCGATTCAAAGGAAGCCTCAATCAGAAGAGAAGTGTGGTTTTATGGTATTTACAATTACCATTTTTACAAAGTTTGCGATTGTGACGACCTTTGAAGAATTCTCGATCCTTTATGATTTCCGGTACAAGTGTCACGGTCCCAGCCTGTGCCGATAACTATGAAACAGAAAAGAGCCTTGTCATCTGGCTGTTAAAGATATTAAACCTGATTAAAGAAAACAGTAACTAAACATCGGACTCTTCTGTTTAAAACAAGAAACAACGTACCTAGTCAGTTGAATAGGGACATTTCATTTTTTTATCCCCACTCACCCCTTCCCCTCTCCCGCACACCACCCCACTATGGAAGGCTATCTACGTAGTTTTTGTTGTCGGCATTAATGAAGATTGCATCCGAGGGGTCCAAAGCGTCGTCGGCGTCTTATGAAAGAGAAAGAGACCGCCTTTCATTGCTTATTGGGGGGATGGGGGGGACGGAAAAAAATGAAATATCCAATCTTGTTTTCAGCCTTCCCCAACCCCGGCCCCGCCACTATTTATTTCGCTCCGCCGCCGCTGTACCATAAATTCTTCAACCACCTTCCCCCCTGATCTCCCCTCAATCGTTGCAACCAGAGTGCAATGGCTGTCAAAACTCCAGTTGGACTGATACAATAGTATACTCAAGCGCTGGAAGTTCAGGTTTGTTTTTGATATTCTAGTATGTTCTCGATGTGTTAGAGTTTGAAGTACAAGAAATCGAAAAAGCGACACGTAAGTTCTCTTAAGTATTGTAGAGGACCAACAGACTTTTCCTCCATGTCGTTGGGTAAAATGACTTCATTTAAATTAAATCGGGGACCCCCCCCCCAAATCATTTGTGCTTGAAATAAATAGGCCTTCCAGAGGGCTTACAGTCAAACCAGGAAAACCGTGAAAACCAGAAATATTTGCCTTGTCCTTGTCCTTAACTGCTGTTATCACTGAAGAATACTTTTTCAAAGTAGTACCACCCAGGGGGACACCCTAGTGGGAGTGGTGGGGGGTACTCAGGTATAACAACCAGCTGAGTGGTGCGTAACCCTTTTTACTGGTTTGACATCACATTTTTGAGGTTAGTTAGGTGTTTATTTCTGCAGTAAAGGATCTGACTTTGGCACAGACATTTTTGGAAGGTTTACAAGAAAGTGTATAACCATGCTTCTAACATTTGTCACTGGTCAAACAGTTGCATCCGATCAGTTTCCTTCACAGACATCAACTATGTGCAAATTACTCAGATAATTCTTGCTTTTAATAGATTACCAGTATCCCGAAGAACACTTTCCTCGGCTCAAATTAGTAGCCACTGAACTTATAAGGATCGGCTTTGGGATGGAAATTCAAAGGGTGCAAGACAATTTTGCCTCATTCACACATTACTGAGTGCCGGGGGAGGGACGAGGGATGGTACACACTAGATATCTTACATTTACCAACCTAAACACTCTATTAGCTATATCGTAACCTGTGGTTATATACCTTTGTTCCTGAGTCTTCTATATGAGTCATTTTGGAAGGGATTTCAATCAGATCGAAGATGGTTTACCTTGCCCGCCTCAACTGTTTCTTGTCTGGCATGTCATGCATATAAGTTGCAACAGTGAGTCAAGTTTCTAATTATTATTAAATATTATACAGCACTTTCCTCGGAAAAGACCATTGACCATTAAACTGAAACCCGACATTGTCTCCCCAAGAAGAGTTAATAGTCAATAATAATGGCAGCAGTTGAGAAGCAGACAAGATTCATGAACACTATACTTGAAACCCAAACCATCTTCGATCTGATTGAATCCCTCCCAAAAAGACTCAGGAACACAGTAAAATTTCAGTGCATTATGATATACCGGATTTCCTCCAATAACAGCCATCCCTCGATTAATTGCCTCCCTTGCATAATTGCCCCCCGCACCCCTCCCTTTCTTTTATTCCCTCCCTGTCAAGTTGAAGAGGAATCAGCCAGCAAAACTGATCAGTGACGATCCAAGCTCTGAAAATTAATCAGGGAACCAAATTTGGAACACTTGAAAAGCCCATTATGTTCAGTTTTTTTGATGTGATAGTAAAACAAAATATTTAGGGCAAGACTTCCAGTGAGCAATATTTCAAATAATCGCCTTCCCTCAAATAATCACCCCCTTTTGATACAAAAAAAAGAAATAATTGCTGCGGCTATTATTCGAGGAAATACAGTAGCTAATACCGCATTCATGTTCCCTGTGCATTTACATCACACATAGGTTTTTGTTTCACTTTGTTATAAATTTTTTTTTTTGTGGTTTGTTTTTCATAGTTTCCTTTGCTGGTTTCTACCAGTTAAGGATAATTATTGAGAACCAAATAATGCTTTTATGCAAAGTTGTCTACTCCCTATGGTTGGTATTTTCTAAGAAAGTAGCACCACTTATGAGACACACTTTTCAATATAACTAGCCTGCTGTTTATAATACACAATAAACTCATTGGTAGTTATTATTTCACAATTTATTTCTCTGCCGTTAGGTTATGAGCAGGAGAGCTTTTTAGGGGGCAACCCAACCAAGTGAGCAGAGATTAACCTTTGGCCGGCAGCACGCCGTTTTAAATAGGATGAAGCACTTTTTTGAAAGTCTTGAACATAATTAAAATAAAATTGTAAAATCCCAACTGACTGTCAAGTACCATCAGGCAAATAATGTTGAAAAAAGAAATACAGCAAGTGGGTCATCTATGCAGGGCTGTCAATCCCCCATGTCTTCTCAAATGTTGAGAATTGGTAGGGAGGGAATGATAGATGATGTCATAAAGCATGGTACATGCATGACGTTATTTGTGCAAAAAAATACTCATGGACTCCGATCGTCACAAAATATTTGCGATGACACAAAACGTGTGAAAAGGATGTTGTTGGCATTATAACATTTGACTGATTGGTTTTGACTTCCCTGACTAATCACATTTTTTCTTATATTACGTACCTGCGTTTATGAGGAAACATTCAATGTTAAAAGTAAATTTCTCAAACAACAAAAATTATTTGAAATTTTATTATCAGAAAGTCCAGTCTTAAAGAAATGGCAAACTTTGGTGACTATCCTGGAGGTTTGAGACTCTAATCTCGAGACAAGGAGATATGGTCCAAAATCTGGAGTCTCTCGGTTTATCCGGGATAGCTGACAGCACTGTCTATGTGCAGGGCTGCCGCTAAAATTTCAAGTTGCCAGGTATATGCAGTTAGTAGGAGGGGAATTGTACATTTAAGAGTTCTTTTGGTTCTATTTTCCTTTTGTTTCTTATAAAGAGTAGCCAGGGCTCATGGTCATATTTGCCCGGGGAAAATCCCTGGCCCTCGCCTCTTAGTAACAGCCCTGTATTATGCCTGGCATAAAATGCAGCAGAGCAGAAGAGCAGAAGAGCAGAAACTTTAGACAATGATTGACAGAAATGAATTTATTTTCAGGCACAAAACTTAGTTATTACAATAATATGTATGTACATATGAATGTCAGAAGAAAACAATCAAGTTACAGTAAAGCAATTTCCCCATAAACCTTGACTTGACTTCCATGAAGTCTGCTTTTCTTCTTGTTAAAGCCCATCTTTACTAAAATTAATATTACTTTAAGTATTTTTTCAATTTCTTTATGACACAAAAACTCCATTTTGGACCAAGAATCAGTCATCTGCCTCATAAACTTTCCCAGGAGTCTTTGCAGCAATAAACTTCACATCTTCCCTGCAAAATAATTTTAAAGAAAGAGAAAATAAAGCATAATTTAATTTTAAAAAAAGGGTCTGACACAATAAGTTTTATCTAATCAAACAAGAGTGAAAATTGAGGTAAGAGATCATTGTTATTCATGTGTCTCACTTCACAAACAATTTTGTTTCTGTAGGCCATGTAAGCCTTGTCCATCTAAACCTTACTTATTTTCCTAAAACCTGCCTTTTGTTTTATATAACACCAAGGTAAGCTGACAATGAACTTGGCCCTTTTTTGGTCTGATGGATTTAAGACCGGTTTTAGTTCTCTACCTTGTACACTGCTCTACATCATACTCATTTGTTTTCCTTTCAGGGTGAAAGTAATGATGAATATGCTTTGCAATATGCATTTCACAATAAGATATGAAAATAAAACATTAAAGAAAGAAGGAAAGAGGAGTCGACAAGACGGGATATTTATGGCTGTTCATTCAACCAGCTCAGGGACAGGGTATGAACAAGTCATGAATAGTCATAGTTGTTTCTGTCACTTTGTGCAGTTTCTTCTCTGTACAGGCAATAAAACAAAACATAAAGAAAGAAAGAAACAAATGCAATAGGAGTCTACAATACAAGATATTCAACATTGGTCACCCATCCAGTTTCTAACCCTGCTTAGAACTTAACTTGGATGGTGTAGGGGCTGTCCACACTTGGTGTTTGGTGTTTGGTTGCCCTTTGCAAAGTCAAGAAAGTCAAAATTCTGGCAGGGGTGGAGGTGGGGGTATCTAGTTGACATTATGAGCATCTAACCAAAGATAAGATACAGGCAGAACTTAAGGTGATTCCTTAGTAAAAGAACCTAACAGAGATTGTAGATGAAACTTGGTACACTGATGTAACAAGTCAAAACGATGATAAAAAAGTAATAAAAAGTGGGGGGTCACCATGCTCATTTTAACATCACAATGCTGGCAAATACAGCTATTTATGGCACTTTGGCAAAAACAGTGCCCAGCCCAAAACTTAAGACAAAACGGAGAGATTTCTTCAATGTGGTATCGCACAGAAATTGACTCAATGTATTGTTTATTCACTTATGTACCAGAAAAATGCCTTTAAATGCCCTCGTTTTTATTGTACACTCCAAAGTAGACTTAATTTGCATTGGAAACACGTTATTCGACCTGTTATTAATAGCTCAATCTGTACAATTTAGCAACATTGCCAGAAAACTGAACATAGATTTATGCCTTTTTTTCTCATTGAAAGGAAGCACTGTTCCTATTACAATCATGGAATAAGAAATCAAGGTCGCCGTACTCATTTCTGCGGTAGAGCTGAAGAAAATGTGCACCAAATGCATTTCCTCCTATTTGTGAGAGAGAGGACTGCATGGGCAAGTATCAAAATGGCATGTATATGAAGGGGGGAAGAAAGCATTAAGAAATCCATTTTTACAGAATTTAGATCGAGATATCACAGTTGGGACACAATGTGATAAAGATGGTGCTTAAATAAATTTCAACCTGAGTTAGCACAAGTTTAACATCTACTATCGAGGTTCTCCATGAGGAAGTCAAACTCAGCAACATGCGCACTGCTTACATTATGTATAATCTCAACACATTGAGTTTCATTTCAGCAAGAAACATATGCAAGCAAAAATTCCAAAAGCGTTTCTCTTCAGTCAACTTCATTTTAATATTATTATGTTACTTCAGATGCTCTTTTTCACAGCGGCCACCTTGTTATGCGCAGTAAGAGATGCATAGTGTAAAATCAGCGAATCACCTTATGCTACACTACACTAACCCTGTCTGCGATGCTCCTTCCAACAGCTTCCTTTGGCCACCATATAGCACTGTAGGAGGCATAGATGCTCGTCTCAGATCTCGATCACAATAATAGTTGTTACTTAGCTTGTGTGCTGGGCCATCAGGAAGGCTGGGGTTTGGCTGTGTTCTGAATAAAAATAATGTTACGTCTTTTCAATATTCTGCAGAAACACACTAAATTTCCAAAACATAAATTTGATCATCATCTGAGGTGAATTTTTGTGTTCCTAATTTCAATCCAAGATTATTGCCCAGTCACTTGATGGCCTACCAAACTTTCTTGGTTTAATAAGGTGAGCTCATTAAGACACAAAAGTAGATGATTTGATTGCTAGCCTTTTTAGGAGGTAGTGCTTGAAACATCAGCTTGTGACTTACCTTTAAATGGTGACAAACTGACTTTGCCAACTGCCTCATTGATAAGCCCAAAGCTTCGTGTTTCATGGGATGTTCCATTTTTTAACTGCACCCCCCCCCCCCCCCCCCCCCCCCCCCCCCCCCCAACACGCATCCCGACCCTCTCAATTTTTTACCCCCCCCCCCCACAAAAAAACAAAAAAAGGAAATTTCTTTTGCCCCCCTTCTCAAAAAATTTTCTTAGCGATAAAATATTCTTTTTTATTTTTTTCATAAATTAAAAAAACAGCACCCAAAATCCACACCACTATAAAAAGGGTAGGCTATATAAAAAAAAAAAAGATTTTTTTTGTTGGCGAGCCTTTTTTGGGGGTGGTTTTGAAAAATTCTCGTTTTTCTTTCCTTTAAAAGGGGAAAAAATGACTTTTGCCACTCCCCCCTTTTTAAGCCCCAAGCTTTGTGTTTTCTGGGATGTTCCCTTTTTTTACCCCCCCCCCCCCCCCCCCCCCCCCCCGCCACTAAGGATGACTGGAATCTGAACCCTTAAATTTTAGTCAGCACCCTTTGAAAAATGAATCAGAAGGGTTCATTCCTTGTCAGCACCTTTGAAAAATTTTTCCGAAGGGTCAAAATTTTGTCGTCTTCTTTGATGAAAAAATCCAAACCCCCATTCAAAAACTTATCATCCTTAGGTGGGGTGTACATAACAAATGGAACATCCCCACTCCCCGGCATCATAGAAGCACGAGTCAAGAATAAATAACACCCCACATAAATGCCCCTTGTGCAGGCCAGTAAGTAGGTGGAGCATAGAACATGTTATATTATGTAACATGTAAGAGATTACAATTGAACCTATTCAGGGGGCACCCTTGGGACCCTCACAATAAGATAGACCATTTTTCAATTGTGGACTTAGTATTTTAGCCTTTGAGTGAACATGAAGCTGAGGTTCACCTTGTTTTGATACAAACCTCCTTCCGTTTGTAATGGAAGTTATGCTTGAAGCGTTCTAGTTAGTATAAGAACCACATTATTTACATAATAAAGCCAGAAGGGTTGTATCAAAACAAGGTCAACTCCAGCCTCGTTTTCACCTGTAACTGTAAAATGTCCCCTGAATGGAGGTTGGGCTGGGGTTTGTTGATAAAGAACCAACAAAGAACAAAGAAAGTACGTTGAGTTACGTGAAATTGTCAATGTTCTGAGAGCAGTCATCATTGTGATTAGTGTACACTTAAACGACCCTCTAAATAATAATAAGCTACGGCTTTAGCTATTATTATTCAATACAGTGTAAAGGAACGAATTTGTGGAACTCTATACCAGAAGATTTAAAGAACACAAAATCACAATATCGTATAAAAAAGAAATCTTCTGTCACAACAGTGCTTAGTGGTGTGCAAGTTTATAAATTGAAATTATTTTATAGTTAGATTTATAGTTAGATTATGCTGCATATGGCGTCCAGACCTGATAAAAAAAGCAAACAATAGGGGAAACTTGTTAAAGCCCGTAAGGGTTTCCTAAATTCCCATATTGATGTAATTACATCTGTTCAATATAATTAAATAAAGTTAATGTTGTAGTTGTTATAATTACTTACCTTGCGACCTGATCATTGGGATAACGCAACGGTACTTTCAGCTTTTTCTGTAAGAAAAAAAAACAAACAAAATACAGCGTAAGGACTTTTTCTATCTTATGTCTTGGCTGAGCAGAATAGTCGTAGGTTTTGCTTACTCCAATAAGTAAATTTCGAAAAACTTGCACTGGTTTCGTCGCGGACGCCATCTTGCGAGTATTCAATCTCGCATTGGTTTGTGGGAAATCCACTTACCAGGCTCTTTGATTTCGACCAAAAATTAGGTGGGGGGGGGGGTTGCGCCTGCCACGCAGGCTAATAGCATGGATAATAGAAAGACTTTCTATAGAGAGGTGAAGAGAATTAGATCAGCGTGGACTAGATCAGTAACTTCCAGTAGAGTTATAGATATGCTGATTGCAAGTCCAAGAAATCCGTGAGGGATAGCAGGAGCCCATGCATAACTCCCAATTTCTCTTGATAACAAACACTAGATCGACGAGTACGTACATATGATTATGCAATTTAAAATATGTAATTTCTTTGTTGTTATTTACAATTCTTATCGTTGTTGTTGTCTTCTTAGCCGTTAATTTTCCCATTCATTTCACCCATTTTTCCCATCCACACCTGTTCCCACCCCTTCTTTAACTTGATTGCTATCCCAAGAGCCTGCGCGCGCCTAAAAGCCGCTTTGACCACGTGGTTCGACCTTTTTGATCCTCCATTTGTTCAAGATGGACAAGCCAGTGAAACTTGCGAAGGTATAATATGAAAATTCTAATATTTACTGAACGTTAAAGTACTTTAACTGCACAAACATCTTCAATGCGTTCTTTGGAAGAGTTTGCAACATATTATTAGCAATTGTAAGGCTTCAACGTAAAACTATCATCATTTGATTTCGCAGTGCACGTAAACACGAGACTCTTCGATCAGCTTTTGAAGGAGAAGCTTACTCTTTATTCTTGAGATAACTGCATTTCGTGAAACAATAGCCGATCTCAAGTGTTTTTAATCGTAAATTTTTAGGTGACAAAATGTTTGGGCCGAACGGGATCCCAAGGACAGTGTACGCAGGTGAGGGCTTTTGAAAAATTATGGATATAGTTTCAAACGTCGTTAATCAGTTGATCGAATTATATTCAACTTGAGCACGGTAGTAGCACGTTTGAAACTATGTTGTCTTAAAACAAAATTATTTCCTTGACTTAATTTTAGAATAATTAAGCTTACAATTTGTATGAGTGTTTGGATAAGGCAAGTGATGAACTTTCATAGGTTTGATTGGCCACTGTGTGGCTTATCAAATTCCTCCTTGTCATAACAATGCTTTGTAAAGCAGAGAATTTGAGATAGCAGGTATCAAACCCAGTCCCTTTGCGTCGGAAGGTTATTCTTTACCGCATGTATAAGAATAATAAAAATGACCTTACTATCATTCTTACACCGATGCCAGTTTGCTTGATAGCTCTAAATCTGTTGTAATTTCGGGGTGCATCTTACAACCGGGTACCTTCGCGCAACAAAGCAAAATTGAGTCAAATTTTTTACTCTAGCAGCTCTAGCTGCTCATCCTCTTCTTTGTTATCGGTTTTCAATGACTTCTACATCTTCTAAAGCTGGTATTTAACAACAAACGAATCATTAAATCATCTGGCATAGATTGTTTTGAACTGAATGTTGATGCTGGGTAACCAGGTGAATTTTTGAGCACATGCTCGACCCATGATGGCGTTTTTTTTACAGCCATTTCTACGCTGCGATGTTGCGCTTGTTTCAGACCTTTATTTTTTTTAGAAGGCTCCCAAATCTCTAGTAGACCTGTGAGAGCTCTTTTATCTGTTATTTGTTAAATTAAAATTTTACTAGATTTGACAGTTAATTAACAAAATATTCAGGCTCATATATTACGGGATCAATTTTATCTTGATATTGCCGATGCATACACCGATGTCAATATGCCGCAACCAAGAGAGCTGACTTGTTTATGGAAAAACGGATTCCCTTAGTATTCGCAACTTTAGAAAACAAATTGTTTTTTGTTTTGATAGGGTTGATTTGTATACGTAACCTTTTATTGCGTTTGTTCACGTAGGTGAATGGCTGTAATCAGCATCGTTGTAAAGCGTGTTGTTGTAGTTTAGGTGAACATCACCAAAGATGCCGGCTGCGCTTTATAGCCGGGTATTTTTGCTTAATTTTCAGTTTGTTAGAAAAATCACATTGAAAAGTGTGGGTTGCATCTTATAACCGAGTGCACCTTATAAACAAAAAATATGGTACTTTCCTTTCAGAAAATGAGTTAGATGAACTTATCATGGTCATAATTTTTTTTCAATCTTCTTGGTTCTTTATCATGTTGGCTCTAGTCAGTTTACAGCAGACTTGCATTCCAGTTTATTGTTATATTGATACTGGGCTTATTGCATAGGCCACATTACTATTTATGATACATGATACATTTCTGTACTCTACTAGACTAGTCTCCACTACTTGTTGGTGCACAAGAGTGTACAGCTAACAAGTGATAAAATGTTAGGTAGCATGCATTATTTTGTCCACCATCTTGAATAAGACAAAAATGTATTGTATCATAATATCACCATATATTGTTCAAAATAAAATTGATATTCTGTGGTTGGAAGAAATTTTACAGGTCACCAACTCATTCTGTATATCATTGCAGCCCTAACTAGAAGGCATTATTGTGTTTGGATTTGTTGCATATTAACTTGCTCCCAGGGAAATGTCCTGGATGGAAGGTGAAACTCAATTGTTGTACCTTTCAGGTCCGAGTGGAGTTTCTTGATGATACAAATCGATCCATCATCCGTAATGTGAAAGGTCCTGTCCGTGAGGGAGACATCTTGACATTGCTGGAATCAGAGCGAGAAGCTAGAAGACTGAGATAGTTCAGGTGCAGTAACTTTAAATGCATTTCAGTTATAAATAATTACCAAAAAAATTAGGCTATTGTAGACAATTTTTTATCGAGTAATGCAGTAACATTTTAAAATAAGGGTCAGTTGTAAGAATTGTGAATCGTTCATCAGGGGTTTGGTCAAGAAGTAAGAGTCAGACCACAATAGATGCAAGCTTGTTTGATTAAAAGTAACACATTGAAACCTTTCTTGTTACAGGTGACAATTCAGAGATGCAAGGAAAGAACACAAGCTGTTTGTTTGAATTATATTAAAATTGTCATTTTTTCATGACCATCATTGTGTTTATTAATCTTTAGTTGTGTTCTATTGATAGCGATACTTACTGTTTACAAACATTGTTTTTGTTATTCAAATGTGTGACAAGAGAAACAAAAGAACTTATTTGTTTCAAGAACCAATGCACTCCTTGTTGGGAACATATCAATGGGTGATGTCAGTGTTGGTTTGGAATGATTGGCTTAGGTTTCAACAAGGACTTTCAACTGTTGAATCAAAGTTATGTTTCGGTATACCATTGGTATTCCTCAACTTCTTTAATTAATTCCTTTTGCAATATTGATAGAATGTTGCCAATTTCTTTTGCAATTAATTGAATGTTTTTGGAAAAAAGCCATGAAAGTTATGATTTGCTGTTTGTGGTATGAGAGGGTGTGAAAAAACAGGGGACAGAGCAGAGGAATGATAGGAATAGTTTTCTTTTCTTTCTTCTCCTCCCTCCTACTCCTGCTGTGTTTCTGTTGTGGTTATTCTCGCCCTGTGCCTTTTTGAACCTCACTTTGGAAAGCAACAATTGCCATCTAAGCTTCAGTGTACATGCGATAGGATCTGACTGACACTATTGGCTGGTAATTGACTAGTAACTGCCCAGAATGTCTTTGGCAGATAAAGACAATATCCACAAATATATCACCCTGAAAAAGGTTCCTTTTGCCCATTCACTCTTTGCCTGATAGTGGCCTTTTTTACATCCACACTTCAGCCAAAGAAAGTGAACCGTATAGTTTCTTGGCCTTCAAAATATTTTTGTAAAAATCAAATTATCCACAGAGCCCCCATGCATTCAAGAATCCTTGAGCCTTAGCTGCATAAAATGTTATTTAGTTTCAGTTAATATATCTTAGTGTTGACTGTTAGATCTGCATTTGTAATACCCTGTGTACGCATTGTTACAGTACCTTTTATCATACTTAGTTACCCACAATCTTGGACAAAATAAAATGGGACAACAAACCCCCCCCCCCCCCCCCCCACAAGGGGAAAGCCCCCAAAAAGGGAAAAAAACACCCCCCTCCCCCTTTTTTTTTGGGGGGGGGGGGGGGGGTGTTTTTTTCCTTTTTTTTTTTCCAAGGTGTTTGGTCGATCATATATTTGATAAAACCCCTTTACAAGGGGGTGGTTTGCCTTCTTTTT